TGTATAATCAATAATAGAAGAAGATTCTTAATTCTTTTCAAATGAAAAAAAAGTGGATTTTATCTGTTTATATTTAATCTAATTAATATCCAGTATAACAAAAAATAATACAAGACAAATAAGTTACGTCAACAATTAACATTACACAGTTTACATTGATAATATTTTGACTAGATATATCATTTATTTAAAATCTAAAATGTTTTCATATATTTAAAGTCATTTTTGGTAATGTTATCTGCAACTTTTATATCTGTCTTTTTTTCACGAATTATTTTCGTAAAATGATTTATGCGCTTTTATTTGCTAACTTATACTCATATATATGATATATATATATGTGTGTGTGTATGTGTGTATAAATGCAAATATTTGCATATTTATTCTAATAAACCGTTTTATAGGTGGCGCTATAAAAAAGCATACATACTATATCAGCTATACATATAATATATATATTTTTTCTAGACTGTACATACTACAAGCTGCTACAAGCCAACAAGTTAACAATACACATATAGTGCCTTTGCAAAGCAGCAAAATTAATCACTACATCAAGTTTACAAATTATAATGTTTTCTCTAAATATTGTATATATTAAAACGAACTAAGTAGATTATTCAATAAGTATTATAAAGAAAAAAAAGCTTTAAACAGGAAAGAACAACTTATCATTGCTATAAAATTTGTAAGTATATTCCTCTGCTTTTTATATTTATATTTTTTTAGTTTTATCATGTTGGAAAGATTGGAATTTAGTTCCAAGTATGGTTTCAAGTTAATGTTGTAGTACTCATATATAAAAAACATGTGTAAATTTGTACAAGAATAATATTAATGCCTATATTATAAGAACTAATTTTTAAAATATTATTTCTGTAAATAATAAATCTAAGACAACTTGTATTTTAAATAGTTAGTATTAACTATGTTAATGTCATGTTTTAATTTATTAGAGAATAAAATTGATAAAATAATATTTGTAATATATTAATTTTTTATGTGTAATATAAATAATAAACTTAGTTTTTATTTTTCCAGAATGCATAATATTTTATAGTTAATCCAAACCTAAGATACCATGAACCGTTTACTACTATTATTATTCTTCGTTAATTTCATAAATAATAGTATATCATGGGAGACTTTTATGAGGGGTCGAAGCAAATATGGTAATCTAGGTGCTCCAATTTTATCTGAAGATCATGAACTTCCAAGTGCTGAATGGTTTACACAGTTTCTAGATCACTTTAATCCAACTGATGCACGTGTTTGGCAACAGGTAATACAAGGATATATTAAATATTTCTTAATTTTTATTTTATAATATAAATTCTTTTATTATTTTTTCAGAGATATTTTGTAAATGGAGAGTACTATAAGAAAGGTGGTCCAGTATTTTTGATGATAAGTGGTGAAGCTGCAGCAAATGCTAAATGGATGGTAGAAGGTCAATGGATCGAATATGCTAAGCAATTTGGAGCACTATGTTTTCAAGTGGAACACCGCTTTTATGGGCAAAGTCATCCCACTTCGTATGTAACATTGTTTATAAAATATATAATTGATACATTTTAAGTTATAATGTTATGTTTTCGTTATCTGCAGGGATCTGGGTGTGAAAAATTTAATGTATCTTTCATCGCAACAGGCACTTGCAGATTTGGCTTACTTTATACAACTCATGAATATTAATTACAAGTTACCAGCTGGTACTAAATGGATTGCATTTGGAGGATCATATGCTGGATCATTAGCTGCTTGGTTGCGTTATAAATATCCTCATTTAGTACATGGTGCTGTTTCTGCTAGTGGTCCTTTATTAGCAGAAATTGATTTTCAAGGTAAATATAAAATACACTTAAATACAAAAAATATTTTATTTAAAACAGAAGTGTTTTATATTAATAATTATACTTTATAGAATACTTTGTTGTTGTCGAGAATGCCCTCAAAGAACATTCTGAAGCATGTGTAAATGCAATACTAGAAGCAAACAAACAATTTCACATAATGTTACATCATCCTATCGGTCAACAAGGAATAGCTAAAAAATTTATGTAAGTAAAAGTAACATTCTTCATTTACAGATCAAATATATCATTATTGGAAAATTATTTTTACTTATAGTTTATGCGATCCAATCAATGAACATACCAAACGTAATGATATTTCGAATTTGTATGAAACAATAGCAAGCATCTTTGCCGGTATTGTACAGTACAATAAAGACAATCGTAATAATTCCGCAATGGCTAATCTTACTATCGATAGTGCTTGCGACATATTAACGAACGAAACATTGGGTATCGCTATTGACAGACTTGCAATTTTGAGCACTAAAATATTACAGGCATCAGAAGAAAAGTGTTTGGATTATATGTATAATAAAATGATTCATAAACTTCGTAACATAACATGGGCTAGCGAAGAAGCAGAAGGGGGTAATGTATTTTTTTACTTATATTATTGCTGTTTTCATTTTTATTTATTGTGTTTTAAAATATATTTTTTGTAGGACGCCAATGGACGTACCAAACGTGTACAGAATTTGGATTCTTTCAAACTTCGACAGCACGCCCAAAATTATTTAGTGAAACTTTCCCAGTAGATTTCTTTGTACAACAATGCATTGATATATTTGGCCCAAGGTTTATTTAAAATTACGATAAATACATTTCTCAATTATGATAAATCATTAGTTATAAAATTATAACATCTCCGTATTCTAACAGGTACAATATTCATTTGCTGAATTCGGCAGTGAATAGAACAAATATTTTATATGGAGGATTAGATTTAAAGACTACAAATGTAGTATTTGTACATGGATCAATTGATCCTTGGCATGTTTTGGGAATTACAAAATCACCAAATCCGCAAATGCCTGCCATTTATATTGATGGTGTGTACATATTGATTGAAATTTTTCATTTTTCATGTAATATAAAAAATTTATTTATTATTATGACCATAGGTACTGCTCATTGTGCCAACATGTATCCTCCTTCCAAAAATGATCCACTTCAGTTAAAAGCTGCCAGAGTTGAGGTTGGACATTTAATAGATGAATGGCTGCATAATTAAATATGATATTTTTAACGCTGTGTGTGCTACATTTAACTACTTTATGATAAGTAGTCTTTTATTTTTGAAACAAAAATGATGTATTAAAAGAATTAAATTTATTTTATTAACTTTTTGAACAATTTGTATTTTCCTTTATGAACTTCTGTGAAACAATTATAATACATAAATATTTTTAGTTCAAATAATTCGTGCATAACTAAGACTAAAACTAACTATGTACGTACATAACAAGTTACTGAAGATACACGAGTGTTCACCATTCTGTGTTTATGTTTAAATCACAAGAATGCATGTATAGATACAATTAAACAAGTTTGCCCATAATGGCACTATTACAATTTTTTGTGGATTACTGAAGTATTAAATAAATACATGTACAAACTTACTATGAATATCTTACGTCAGTCAATGAATAAATACATATCTATCAATTATATATGTTTTATTCTTGACAAGCATGGGAAAAAATGTTCAACTGGTTAAAATAATACTAAACATAAATAATTCATTAAGGTGTTTTAAAATCTGCAAAAACAGATCCGACATGAATTTTAATAAGTGTAAAGTGTCTTAAAATGAGCACCATAACTAAATGAATTTTGATTCTGATATGGATAGCGTCGGCCTTTCCTTAACGGTACCATCTTCGAATATCGTTTCGTTATGAGTTTGTTCGATTCCTTTAAGGCGAGGCCAAGGTGCCCATTACAGATATTGATCAACCGAGTATACGTATGATTTTCGTAAAATATTGTCAATCCTATTATAATCAAACATTCTTATAATAGTTTGTATAGAATTCGTTTAAAAATTATTAGAATTCGTTTGATCAGTAATTATACATATACATATATTACTCTCTCATTTTTTTGGCATATCCTTCGATCAACTCGTGATCCTCCTACATTCACAACTTTCATCTTTGACTTACGCTACTGCAGTATACGGTATTTACATTACGTAACAAGGTAGTCGTAAATAATTTACTGTATAACAGAACAATAAATGTAGGATGAATTAGTTTTTCTATCTATGAATCACGCTTAAAAATTCTCCTACGCAACGTTTGAATTGTTCACCACGTTCTTTTAAGTTTCCATTTTAAATGGAGTTACAAATTATTTCATAAATGATATAGCAGAATATATGGATGGATGGTGATTTAATGCTAAGAAGAAGATGAAATATAAGAAAACTTATCCACATGAAACTTTATTTCTAAAAAAAAAAAAATGATTTTAAATATTTGTCAAATGTTTGTTATGATATATATGCATTTGGTAATATTTTATTTTACTGACTTCTTGGTCAAATGACTGCAAAAAATTGTTTTACGAATATTAGATATACATATACATATTTCTTGAAAAAATTTGGGATAAAAATTTATAATTTGTGATAAATATACATTCTTTTAAGTAAACTTTGAATTGTAAATGGCAAACAATATGCATTTTTGATATTCTAACTTACAATTAGTTGAATTACTAGAAACAATTAGTTGAATTTTAAACACAAGATTTTATACATGTTTCAAAATGTATTATATATATGTAATTTAGATCTAGAATATTATAGAAAATGTCAACAATCTACCTCAAAAGCTTTTTGAGATAGATGTGCTTTTCTATAAAAAATAAAGTTATTTAGAAATTAAAATTGAAATTGAAGCAACGTATGAATTCATCAATTTTTTTCTTGAAGAATCAGATCAATATATAAAATCCACATAGTACTGTATTTAAAAAATAAAAAAAGATGTTTATATATAAAAATACATATACACAAGAAGAATTTCACCTATGTAAACAAATTTGAACACTACTGTCTACATACAAATATTTTTAAATCAAAATATTACCAAATAAACATTCAATTAATTATATCCTTCACATTCAACAAATAATATTGAAGGCAGTTTACCTTACATTTTGCAAGTATTTCTTAACATAAAGTCACCATCTTCCAGTGCGTCACCATTTATAAAATATGCATACAGCATAAAAAAAGACAGCTTGCTCGTGATCCAATCGCGACTCGTCACAATAATCGATTCACCGAAAATCTCAAAAAAATAAGCGGTTCTAGGTAACCGATTTTGTGTTCAGTATCTGTGATGAGACTGAGATTGCCTCCACTCGGGCGTAGAGTTACCATGGTGATGATGATGATGATGATGATGGCGTTTCTTGTCAGAAATACTGGCGTGCTTGTTAGACGGGTACGTGGCTACATCGCTCACAACTAATTCTGAACCATCTCTCTCGGTGTTGTTGCCACGGTAATTTTCTCGGTATCCTGGTTCATCCAGGGTCTCCTTGCGACGAAGAGGAGGATGATTGGTCTTATGACCGGCCGTCTCATGCAGATTTTCCCAAGCTTGACGGTAATATCGATTCAGTCCTCCTCGACTCTCAGAGGAACTGCTTCCAAAGCTGGCCACGGTATTGCAATCTGGAGATGCACGGTGTCGGTAATGCTTGCTGCTTCTACCGCGATTTCTGTGTGAATAGGTTAAGATATTTATTATTATTTCAACTTCGGCACCTTTCTGCATAATGATTTACTGGTAATATCTATAGGTTGAAAAAATGATAAGTTGTAGGTTACAGATTTAAGTTGTACAACTTTACTATTTTATATAGAACATTTGTCGAATAAGACTATTGAATGGTAATTTGTAAAATTGATGTACAGAAGTAGTTTTCTAGAAAACTAATGTATAGAAGGTAACTTATAATTTGTAATATGTAACATTTCACTACTAACGTTAGTTGTATTGTGCAAGAGGGACCAAGTATTATTTTAAATTATTATTTTCTTTTTCTAACCTGAATACGGTACAATATCATTGTTGTGTTTAATTTATACACCTTGGGTATAAATTTATGGCATAAATGAAGTCAGAAGAGATTCTGTAGTTCAAAATAAGGTGAAAATAAAAAAATAAAATTGCGTCGAAAATTTCATTTTATAGAAAATCGTGTTTGGAAACTTATCACATAGATATTCATGTATTTGATTGATTTTCGACTGGATAGGAGTAAGGAATTGACAGGATGTTATTCTACATAGGAAAATAAATTAAATTTTTTCGACCCGAAAATATAGAATAAAATGTATTCGTTTAAAGCCTAATTTTCAAGAAAATAAAATTTGAAAATTTGTCGAATATGCGATTTCTTGACCAAATAGAATCAAACTTTATTTCCTTCAAAAGGAAGCTTCAAACGACAAATTTTTATTTTACATTTTATTTATTCCTGTGTAGCTGGGAATGAAGAAAATATATATGTACTTGAAAAGTTACACATATACATTTTTTCGAAAATAAATGCTTCGATGTAATTTTGTTATTTTTATTTTGAATTCAGAATCTGCCTGATTTCATTCTTTTTAGACCCACAGTGTATTTATAACTAATAATTTATAATCTTCCTTCCTTCTTCTTAGGAACATATATATATATAGTAAGCAAGATATATATGCGATTTGTTGTATCGTCGATTTGGCTTTCAGATATTTAGATTGTTCCTTATAGAAAATTCTTATTCAAATATTTCTGGTTTTTATTATAATACTTTAGTCCAGAAACTGAAGCCAAATCGATTGTTTCATTTTGTATTATGTATGTCTGTTTGGGAAATATAATTTAGCGAAGTGTAATTGAAGCAATTTGTAGTGAAATCATTAGCAATACCACCACCAATTTAAAGATGAAAGGAGCACCAAATAGTTAGATATAGATATATTAGGAGTTTATTATAATTTAAGTCCCTTGTGATTTTACTAAAATTATTTTAGTATATATAGTGAGCCATTTTCTAGTAATCATCGCATTTTTCCTTCAGCATAGCTTATTGTACTACCAGAAACTTTATGAAACATTATCAAACTATGCTATTAAATAAATTTTAATATCCGCAGATATAATTGTGAATATAGAGATGTTAAATTTTAATTTGTTGAGATTATACAAATATGTTTAGTTGTCAATTTAAAGTTCTATATTTACAGTAACTTCCAAAACTGTTGCAACACTCTTTAAAACTGAATAACTGCTTAAAAATAGGACCAGACGGTTTGAATATTTTTGATAAGTTAGGAGGATTAGTTTACTAGATGATGTATAAAAAAAAAGTTTTAAAAAACTTGCAATTGGTTGGAATCGCCAGGAAAGAAAGTAAAGATCGCATTTCCCAAAATTTTTTCTTGCACTTGTAATGAAACTTTAAAGAACACATTTCGAACATTTCGACATACATATATGTCGAAAATTTTATTGAAATTGGTTGACGCGGAAAGAAGAGACAGGCATCGAAAGACCAGGCCATGAAAACTGTGTTTCTCGGCATCTTTAAACGTTTGTAGCTCATAGCAGCGTTAACCGATTTCGATGAAATTTTCAGCATGTATATAACTGATATAAATGTCTAAAACGTATTGTTTAAATTTTCATTACAAGCTCAGACAAAGAAGTTGCGGAAAATGTAATCTTTGCCTTCTTTCTTGGCGATTCCGACCAGTTGTAGCTTTTTCAAAAATTTTTTTATACGTGATCTAGTAAAATAATCTTCCCAATTTCTAAAAAAATCCAAATCATTTGCTCTAATTTTAAAAAGGTTATTCAGTCTCAACGGGTATGATAATTTTGAATGTCACTGGAATTTCATACATTCAGTTTTATCGTATTCAGTCATAATTATATCATGCTATTATTTCTTATTATTTAAGCCTATAAATATCAATTAATTAAAGTTATCTGACAATTTAATGATGTTCCACGTTTTTAAACCGAAGTAATAGTATAGTTATATCAAATATAACAATAGAAAGTATTTTTACGAGCAATGAAATATCGAAGCACAAATAATCAAATGAAAGTTGGAAAAACAGTTGAATATGTGCATTAGTACTAAATTGTTAAAAAAATTCACGTGTATTGAATAGAAGGAGTATATTGAGAAATAAAATATGGAAGCACAGCGGTATCTTAAGTTGAAAAGTTAAAGCTTCAGAATTAGGTATTAATACACTAACAAAATATACAGGATAAATAGGACAAAGTAATTACAAACAAGTAATTAGTGGAAGAAATATAATAATATTTTGTTGACTATTAAACATAACTCAATTCGCGTGAAAAGTTCTTCTAAACTGATATTCGCACTGATTTTTTATTAACTCTTTCACGTTCAAATCTTGTTGCCGAGGGACGTTGTACATCATCGCTCAAAAGTCGTAAAACAGTTATTACATTAGCTCAAAATTGGAAAAAATTAAATATATAATAAAGACATCAAGAAATAATATTTATACAGTGACGAAATTATACACTACTAATATACATAATGATGTTATTAAAACACGCCTGTAATTGAAAATTTATAATCTATACCAAATACCAACATTTTATTAAAAATACGAGATGACCTAACACTTTTGAACAAGGCCATTCAACAGATAGCTTCGATTCGATAATATCAATGTTTAAATCAAATAAACCGGCACGTGATCAGCCTATTGACTTCGCTCGTGAATTATACGAACTTGAGCAAACTGGATGTTTCTTGCTTGCTGGTTTATGTTATAGGTTTGCACAAACTGGATATTTCCACTATATGTCAACTTATGCAATATAGAGATATACAGGGTGGTTGGTAAGTGGTGGTACAAGCGGAAAGGGGGTGATTCTACGCGAAAAAAGAAGTCGAAAATATAGAATAAAAATTTTTCGTTCGAGGCTTTGTTTTCGAGAAAATCGACTTTGAATCCTCGCTCGGTACGCGTGCGGTACGTTATAACGGATCTCACTGTAGATCGTTGTCTCGATGGAAGAATTTAAAAAAGAAAAAAAAATTTTTTATTCTATATTTTCGACTTCTTTTTTCGCGTAGAATCACCCCCTTTCCGCTTGTACCACCACTTACCAACCACCCTGTATATCTCTATATTGCATAAGTTGACATATAGTGGAAATATCCAGTTTGTGCAAACCTATAACATAAACCAGCAAGCAAGAAACATCCAGTTTGCTCAAGTTCGTATAATTCACGAGCGAAGTCAATAGGCTGATCACGTGCCGGTTTATTTGATTTAAACATTGATATTATCGAATCGAAGCTATCTGTTGAATGGCCTTGTTCAAAAGTGTTAGGTCATCTCGTATTTTTAATAAAATGTTGGTATTTGGTATAGATTATAAATTTTCAATTACAGGCGTGTTTTAATAACATCATTATGTATATTAGTAGTGTATAATTTCGTCACTGTATAAATATTATTTCTTGATGTCTTTATTATATATTTAATTTTTTCCAATTTTGAGCTAATGTAATAACTGTTTTACGACTTTTGAGCGATGATGTACAACGTCCCTCGGCAACAAGATTTGAACGTGAAAGAGTTAATAAAAAATCAGTGCGAATATCAGTTTAGAAGAACTTTTCACGCGAATTGAGTTATGTTTAATAGTCAACAAAATATTATTATATTTCTTCCACTAATTACTTGTTTGTAATTACTTTGTCCTATTTAAGCTATCTAGCAATTACTTTTTCTTCGTTTATTCAAATCACGAACCATTATTGATCGATGGGCAAGTTATCTTAATTCAGAGACAATTACTTTTCAGAAACTGAGCAAATTTTTTCATAGAACACTTCATCCCATCAAACTCTAAACTTCCCACTATACGTATATTCCTCCCTGTAAATCAAATCTCTTCCATTAACGAAAAGGATAGTGCCCAGTCCTATTTAAACGATGTGCTAAGAGAACAGTATACACAGATGAAGCTACTTGGGGGGGAAGAAAGTGCGTGAACGCTGCATTGACGTGTGTGCGTCCGGAAGGAGAGGAGAAGCTTTAAAAATACACTTCGTGGTGAGCTGTGGTGAACGAGCTATCGCTATATATGGGTGCTCATTATAAACGTTGCTCGTTTACCTTGACTAGTAATCACTCGCGAGGGTGGCGCATGGCGGTTGTAGTGGTACGTGGTGATGGTTGATGTAGTGGTGGGCGGTGGTTGCGTGGAGGGTGAGGGCGATAATGGTGGACTATATATGTATGTATATATAGGAAGTAATTGTTTGATAATCTTAAAGAGAAGGGTTGGAAAAGTATCCAGCGCGATGGGCCGCCGAGAGACCGAAGGAGTAAGGATGATCGGTGCCGCGGCGAGCCGTCAAGTCG